TATTTATGGTTTTATACTGTTATTGATATTGTGGCATCGAATTGCTGCCTATGTTAGCCGCTGTGAGTCTGTCCCTCCTCCCCCGGGGGGGGGGGGGTGTGTGAGAAGGGCGGGGTATAAATGTATAAATTTTGTAGATAACATAAAATAAATAAATAATAAATGATAATCCTGTCAGCAAGCTTCCAGTGAACCCTGGCCAAGGAGGAATCCATCAAAGGCAGCCACAGTTGTACACTCTGAATCCAGGGATGAGTGGCAGCACAACTAAAGGAGTTGTGTTATGCCTAGTTCCGTTTTTTATTTCATTTTAGTCATTAAGGTATAATTTGTTTTTATATGTTGAGTTGTCAATTTTTGTTATTATGATGTATTGTTGTTGTGTTTGGCCATTGAATGTTTGCCTTTTATGTTTGGAATCCACCCCGAGTCCCTCTGGGAAGATAGGGTGGAATATAAATAAAGTTTTATTATTATATTATTATTGTTCTTTTGTAACTTCACTCTCTGAAGCAGAAGGATCTGCTTCCTTCCCCACTGTGTCCAGTTCACCGTCTCTCCTTACGATTCTACTTTAGGGGGTGCACTTTCTCAAGTTGAGGCATTGTGAAGAAGGTGATCCCAAGTCTTCTCCTGCGACCACAAAGAGAGAGTTTGGGCAGGAGCTTGGGTAGAACTGCAGCTCTTCCTGTTTCCCCTTTTGGCTAAAGATTATGAGAATCTTCTAGCGATATCTTTGGCCCCTTCCATCACAAGAGTCGGTCAAAATGTTTTTTATTTATATCCTACCTTGCTCCTGATATAGAAACTCAAGAGATTAAGTGAAATTTATTTATTATTTATTTATTTCAGGTACTTCTACCCCGCCCTTCTCAACCCCCTAGGGGGGACTCAGGGCAGCTTACAACCGGCACAATTCGATGCCAACAATTCAACAGATAAAATATATAACAACAATAACCACAATAGTTAAAAAAATACAATTAATACAATAACAACTAAAAAGCCAATCTAGTGGCCAACATTCACCGAGTTCTAAAATCCGTAAGTCC